TTTGTGTCAAGATTTTGTGTGTTAATATTACATGTAAATCGACTATGAAATATTGTAGCAGTATTAAGTATATAAACTATATTTTTATCAACATACCATAGAAGGTGAACAAAATCCGCATTCAAATCACTTCAAAGTTCAAATATCGTACAACTGAACATATTATACCTCAAATTCAAATTGTCCAATCAGGTAGCGAAGTTTGTGCCACGTGAGCATGAAATTAATCGCGATATCACGCCTTACGTCATCAATTAGCGAGCCAGCGTTCCTTTTGACAATGTTCCACCCCATGTTCCCAGGGGAACATGGGGTGGAACATTATTCGCGTAGACCACGCGAGACAACACGCATGACAACAAAATGGCCGACAAAATATAAATAGTATTAATGGATGATGAATAATCAAATTTTAAACGTAAAACCTAGGGCTTTTTCAAAATTTTGAAGCAAATTTTGAAAAATGCTGTCATTAATATTCCAAACGATATGTGATTCGACCGAAAAGCGAAGATATTTGCGTTAATCCAAAAATAAAACATCGTATTCACGAAGGTCGGAAGGTATATGTCAAGTTTTTAATTTTCAACTTGGAGGCTTTTAATTTTCGGTATAATATATAATTTATAGACCCTCCGCTCGGGGGATTCGGCAAAATATTACCCTCAGCAATGATATTTCCCTCGGGGCAAAGCCCCTCGGGAAATATCATCACTTCGGGTAATATTTCACCGAATCCCCCTCGCTCCAGGTCTATAAATGATAAAAGTCGCACGACAAGAGAAACAATATTATTTGCTTGATTGTATTTAAAAATAAACAATCCATATTTTCACGACATTTTAGAGAAATAATCAGAATTAGTGCAGAAAATTTCTAATTCGTTATATTAATTCAATAATTCGTCCGTTTGTTTATATTCGCATAAATTATATATTATTTAATTACTATTTTTCATATTTCACGCTGACAATACGTCAGACTCCGTGTTTTCCATATTTTTCTCTGACATCAGACTCCGTGTTTTCCATATATTATGGTGGACTTCGTGTTTTCCATATGATTCCGTGTTTTCCATATTTTTCTCTGACGTCAGACTCCGTGTTTTCCATATTACTCCGTGTTTTCCATATTCTTATGACGTCAGACTCCGTGTTTTCCATATGACTCCGTGTTTTCCATATTTTTCTTTGACGTCAGACTCCGTGTTTTCCATATGACTCCGTGTTTTCCGTATTTTAATGACGTCAGACTCCGTGACTCCGACTCCGGGGCTCCGTCTCCGGAACTCCGACTCCGGAACTCCGACTCCGGAACTCCGACTCCGTGTTTTCCATCTAACCGCTTTGGTCAAGCTTTCGCACACGGGGCAGAAAAATACAATTGTGCTTTATGAATACCTTGTTAGCAACCAATATCGCATATTTATATCACAGCAATCCGCAGACAAAGTCATAAAATGATCAAAATTAGCTGATTTTTAATTTTTTCGATGATATCATGCTTTCTACTTCATGCAATTCAAGCATCATTGCATTGCAACGACAACTTACGAACATCTCACGAAAGCATGCCAAGGGTGTAGCCCGTAAATAAATAGGAAAGGTATGAAACGCCGAAAATATTTCGTTCGATGGGCACGGCAACAACTGGTGACGGAAGTTATTCGACGTTGTAACCGGAAGTAGAACGGAAGTTGAAGGAAAATTGACCTTTCATCTTCCATGACCTTTTAATGGAATTAACGGTTAATAGTTTGAATAACAACAACAACTTTTAAAAATATTGCGAAATTCAAACTCAAATATGGAACGTTTTGTCACTAAAAGAAATGGGAATCACCCGTTTCAACAGCAACACACGCTCTTGTATCTAGATGGTATAAAGCTTTTAAATAATTTTAAAACGATTGTTCTTGAATCGATCAACTGTGAATATATCCACAATTTTGAATTTTGTCTATGACTGTATAAATCCAAACGGCAGTCTTTGCACAAGCTGGTGACGATTTAAACTCGTCTTCGGCGTGTGTGCAGATTTAAGATATATCAATAGACTATTTAAATTCAAAAATAAACTATACATGTACTTCTGGGGCGAAAAAAAATGGCAGTAAATTTAAATAAACTCTTAAAGGTTTTCGTTAATTCGGTTAATATAGACCTTTTTGTAGTATAAACACCGGTGCAATCTGCTTTGTCTTTTGTAGGCGTGGTATGAATTATCAATTAAATAAGTGACAATTCATGATCAATTCAGTGACAATTCAATAAGTGACTATATATATATATGAGCATATTGTTATTTTGAAACTGTATTACTGATAAAATTATTGTATGAGCCTGTAATATATATTGGAAAAATAGTTTTCGTCATGCGCAATACCTTTTTAAGTGCGTACAAGTATGTCACTTCCGTCACCATGTGTTGCGGTGCACGTTGAAACAAAATATACCAAAATTGTATTCCCAAAAATTTTGGTTTAATAGCCGTTTCTTAAAATGACCTTGTACAAGTATGCTAAGTGTATCATATCTAAACTGTGCACAAAAAATAAAAGGTTTTGGTTCAGAAACCGGCCAGTTATATCCATTCGAAATATTTCACGATCGGGGGTTTCATCCCTTTCTATTATTTGTACGTGTAAACAGAAACATTCGTTCTAGTATGAGCCCACGCTGCTATGGTCACTCCGTGTAATACAATGTTTGAATTACATGAAGTACTAAGCATAATATTATCGAAAAAATTTAAAAATCAACATAATTTTCATCGTAATGAAACTTGGACGAAACTATACGATATATACTAGGTTGATAACAAAATATTTTAAACAAGACGCCTACTCAGGCGTTCACACTGACCTGAAAATGACGACATACGAGGTACGGTGCAATAGACAAGAATACAAATCGTGAACCGCAGACGCAAAGCGTGAAAGGCTAAAAGCGTGTCCGCCCCGCCAGTGGCGGCGCCACGGGGAGGACACGTCCCCCCCAAGGTCAATTTTGGAGGACACGTCCCCCCCAAGGTCAATTTTCTAATTTGTCCAAACCCGGGGAGAAAAATGGGGGGGGGGGGGGGGTACGTTTGTGACATCAGTCCAGTTATGTGAGTAAAAACCGGCATTAAAAGATTTACTTTTGACAAAAGAAATGGTATTTCATTATTTCATATATGCGGTATTTATACCATTAGCATATTACAGGCGCTGATTTCAATCGTCGAAGGAAATCCACCATAATGGGTTAATAACTTATATTTAAATATAAAATTATGTTGACTTCAATTTTCCAGGAAGTAGCAATTCCTTTAGGCAGCTGTCCATCAAAGTAAAGTCATAGTTTTTAATTATGAAAATATCGTGTGATTTGTTCACTCTATAATCTTCGGAATTCTGTATAATCTTACCCTGAAAATGCGGGAAATCGTATTTCTGGGACTCTAGATTTCAAAAATTTTCCGGGGGGCATGCCCCCGGACCCCCCTAGAAGTGTCTCGCGCCTTTGCCGCTCGAAAATCCCCCCACTGTTAAAAGGCACTAGAAACGTTATCCACAAATGCACATGGTTTAGCTCTGAGTATGCGATGCGCTAACGGAGACAACATTGTTTACATTCCGTGAGCGGTGAGTCATATTTAATATACATTAAACGTATAAAATTCGAAAATCTTAGCGATCCAGATATTGCATTTCCAGAGACGCTGCACGAAAAAAACCCAACCATGCAGTCAACTTCCGTGAACTTCAAAGGAACTGCAGTCTGAAGGTAAAACGTCTTAAGTCGAATTTGAGACCCCTACGATTTAAACAGCGCATTGTTTTGATATACGTTCTATGGGCCGCGCTAAAAATATAGATATTCTGTAAATAGCGAAATAAAAGATGAAATTCTGAATTAAGACACAAGCTTGAAAATAACACTATAAATAGTGTTTTTGATTCTGATTCCATTAATACTATTACGAAAAAGATATGTCCAAAGGGGCCGAAGTTATGTTCGGCGAAATGTGGGGCTAGTTTACATTGTAACATTGTAACATTAATTGTTCATTATATTATGAAATATGATACCATACCTTACTTGTAAAATTCGCATCGAAATTAAAAGTAATGTTATTGTTTGACGCAACAAATCTTCAGTAACACAATAAAATGTATGTTTCTTGTAGTTATCAGTAGCAAGTAAATGTTTCCGCGTTTTGTATAGATGTATTGTCTGAGTTTAAAGCGTCTTAAGTCGATCAGTGGCAGGTTTATTAGCTTTGAACGCATCACGGATGTCGCGCGATTGTCTGTACATTACGGATGCTAACTGACCACCTCTCTAACTTCATCATTTTCCATAAGCTTTCCTACCTCCCATCGAGTATTGTGTATATAAAAGGGACTACTCAAAATTTGATGAAATTGCGTTATTAAATGAAATTAAAGAAATTAATTGGGGAATAACATTCCCATCCGATAATAATCCAACTAACATGTTTCATTCTTTCTATGATAAAATTTCAACAATAGTAGATAAACATATCCCCATTAAGAAAATAAGTAAAAGACAATTGAAATTTAATTCAAAACCATGGATAACTTCTGCAATTAAGAAATCAATTCAATTAAGTTAAGAATAAACTGTACAGGGTATACCTGAAGACAAAATCTTCATATTGTCATAGCAAATTTAAATATTATAGGAACAAGCTAAATCATCTCCTGAAAATAGCTAAAAGACAATATTATAATAATTACTTTATCCAAAATGTAAATGATAGTAAACAATTATGGAAAGGAATAAAAAAATAATAAAAACTAAGCCAAGTACTAATCAGAAAAGTATAAAAATAGTTGACAATAATGTATAAATAACTAATCCAAAGATGATTGCTAATGCTTTCAATAATTACTTCTCAAATATAGGTAATAGTCTATCTAATGTAATAGTACCTAATGTTCAAAACTCGCCTCTAGATTATTTAAAAACCCCAGTACAAATAGCTTTTTTATGCTCCGAGTAACTAGTGACGAAATTGTGACTGAAATTTCCAAGCTTAAAAATGGCAAGGCCGCCGGCCCATTTAGTATACCTGTTCACATTCTCAAAATCCTTAAATTTGCAATCTCCGAGCCTTTAGCAACTTTATTTAACACTTCATTTGAGACAGGAATTGTTCCAACAAGTTTTAAAATAGCGAATGTTATACCAGTATACTAGGTTACCCACAGGGCAGTAATGCTGCCTTTGACAGCAAAAGACAAACTACATGGTGTTGAACGAGTCCTTCAGAAACATCCTATTATTGTTATCCTTGTTAACCCATTTATTGACAGTACCCTACCACTGACTGAGTATTAAAAATCGTCTGGCGTTGGACAGGGTAAATACTAAAGTAGGGGTCATTACTGTGCTGATGGATTAACAAGAGCCATTGGCAGATAGGTTTGTTAACCCATTTACTGGCAGTACCCTATACCACTGACGAGTAAAATCTTCTGGCGCTGGACAAGGGGAGGGTGCATTGCCAGCTAATGGGTTAAACCACCGAGGTTAAACATAAGATTTGATGCTCCAGGAAATGTAAACAAGCTAGCAGTGTGAAATCCCAGTTTATATATTTATATACTCGGAATATTGATTTCTCGGTATATACAAAATTATTTTATTATAACAACCAGCGAAGACGTAAGCCACTAACTACCCTGCGCTGCTGCGCGCAGACTATATAATGACATATATATATATGTCATCCGTCCGGTCCGTCCGTTGCCATCCGTCCGGTCCGTCCGTTGCGTTTTATCCTAACCCGTTTTCAAAACACAAAGTTTGCATAATTAACTGCAGTGCGGTTCGTCATCAATCAACATTTTCAAAAGCGGCCAATTAGACCAGGGGTTAAAGGGCAATGACAATGACATGCAGGTGACATTTAATATTGGGTCTCACTAATTAAAATTTGCGTGTTTAATCAATGTTTATGAAAGAAAGCAACTGATATATACAAGACAATCTCACATGTGGAATCTTTTCACTTACGGACTGTCTTGTGATGCAGTACAAGTATAAATACAAATGACAAAGCATTTGTAAATCCTAAAACATAATTAAATCATACGGCACATTCAAGATTTTAATATCGTATTTCAGCCGCGTTTATACTGTTTGGCACATTCGCTGCGTTATATTCATTTAAATACACAGAAAAGCATGTCATTGTCCTTGCAGACCATAGGCCGAAGCATTTATCAACCACATACCAAATTTAAGCAATCGTTAATTTAAATCATATACATGTTATGGAAAGAATATGGAAATAATGTTGAATGAAAGCTAGCATCGCGCCATCGTGTATATAATGCTAAAAGCACCGCATATAGTGCTCGAAGTCTCGAACCACTGCGTATAATTGCAAAAGCACCGCGTATATAAATGGTGAAAGCATCGCGTATATGCTGGAACCACCGCGTATAATGGCGAAAGCACCGGTGTATAATGCCGAAAGCACCGCCGTATAATGCTAAAAGCACCCAACAAAATGCCGTTTGATCACTTTAAGCCAGCTATGACTTTCCATAAAAGAAGACCAAAGATGAAAGATGATCACATTGCCTGTTTGCCTTATGCCTGACCGCGCTGCACTACGGTTAAAATTCACTGGTACCGTCATGCAATGCGCCAAATAGAAAAATTTGATTTCGACCCACAAAACAAAATTAGGATCTGCTGCCTTGCTCGCTCGCTTCAGGCTCGCTCGCTGCGGCAGCAATAAGAAGGATTCGCCATCCAGCCTTTGCAACTATAGACCAATTTCCCTTCTTTCTATTTTCAATAAACTTTTAGAAAAACTTATGTGTTACCGTTTACTTGACTTCCTCAAGAAGAAAAACCTGTTTTATGCAAACCAATTTGGTTTTCGTAGAAATTATTCAACAGAATATGCCATTCTTAAAATAACTGATAAAATACAAAGAGCTATTGATGAACATGATTATTCGCTTGGAATCTTCTCGGACTTTAGTAAAGCTTTTGACACAGTAAACCATGAGATTTTAATAGAAAAGTTGAATTACTATGGAATTAGAGGATTATCCAGTAAATGGTTCACCTCGTATCTTTCTGGTAGACAACAAATAGTTAAAATAAATAACATAAGTTCTGACCCATCAACAATTTCCTGTGGTGTACCTCAAGGATCTGTTCTTGGTCCAATATTATTTTTGATCTATATAAACGATTTTCATCACTCTTCATCTTTATTTGACTTTCATTTATTTGCTGACGATGCCAACTTATTTTATAAAAATGCAAGTCTAGAAAATCTAGAATCTAACCTAAACCAAGAGTTAGATAAGGTTTACATTTGGCTTTGTGCTAACCGGTTGTCTTTAAACATAGAAAAATCAAACTTTGTTATTTTCCATCCATCTCAGAGAAGGTTACACTCTAACATTCAGTTAACCCTGAATAATATTCAATTGGAACAAAAAAATTGCATTAAGTATTTAGGCGTTCTTATTGATTCACACCTCTGCTGGAAACCTCAGATTGAATATATAGCAAAAAAAATTAAGAGAAGCATTGGTGTCCTATCTAAGTTGCGCTATTTTGTTAGTACTAATACATTGATAACTATGCTTCGTGTATCGGGTTACATCGTGCGGCAACACTCTCTTAGGCTCTCTGGTTTTTCGAAAATTTCTCGCTTTTAAATTATAGTTTTTGGATAAACTACATATCAAATTGTTTCTAACCATTTGGTGATTTCACTTGTTTAATTTTGGAGTTGTTTTGCAACGTATTTTTCGAGATATTCTGCGCGAAAGTTTGTGCATTGTAATAATGTCTCGCCGCACAAAGAACAGTATGTCTACGCTTTCAGAAGCTGATGTTGAAAATCTTGTGGCGGAATTGCCCAGCACAGATGAAGATACAGAACAAGTTTGCCCAACAGAGATGTCTGACTATAAAAACGAGGACGAAAACCACAGAAGCGAGACTTGTGGCGAAACAATCGAGCGAAAATTAAGCGAGCACGTGGTTGATGTTGCTGGTAAAGACGAAGTCAACAGGAAACATTCAACTTGCGAGGAATGTCAGAACCGCAAAGACGAAATTACAGAAATAAAAGCGATTATAAACGAAATTAAAACTAACCAAAACGAAGACCGAGAAAAATCAATTTTTAAAGTGATAGAATCGGACGAAAGGATAAAATCCTTGCACGAGGAAAACTCCAAAATGACGGAAGAGATCAAATGTCTTAAAGCTACAATATCCGAACTTTTCACTGACAATGAGAACATAAAAAATATTCTCGACGTCAAGCAGAATGAATGGCTGAAAATAGCGGAAAACCCGAATCCATCAAAATGTAGTAAAACTGCAACAACGCCGCCTACAACCTCAGTACAAAACCAGTTTGAACTGCTCAATGATGAAAATTGTGAGAGCGGAATATCATCGCCTGAATTAGACTCAAACGAGCAAACGAACACGTACGTAAATAGCCAGATTCATGAATATAGATCAAAGGCACAATCGAAGTTTGAAAACCGAAAGAACCAAACTCATGCGCAGCAGAAGGAAAAGAAGAACCATGTCCATGCAAAGAAGACCGGATCCAAAAATGAAATTAAAAAAGTCCTGGTAATCGGCGACTCGATGGTGAAACACATCGATCGGGTGAAAATTGAGCGAGCTGCAGGTTGCCAATCAGTCGTCCACTCTTACAGCGGCGCAAGAGTGGAACAAATCAGTTCTAAAATTAAAGAATATTGGTCAGAAGGGGAGCAGTATGACACAGTTCTCCTTCACGTGGGCACCAATAACCTCGCTTCTGAAGAGCCAGAAGAAGTGGCATCTAAGATGGATGGGCTTATCAAAGACCTCAAAGATCACGCCAAGAAAATTGCCATCTCAAGTGTAATTAAAAGGTATGATAACCGAGTTCCGGCTAGCAAGATAACTCGTTTTAATATCCTTGTTAAAAACTTATGCATGAAACATAATACCACATTTTTAGATAATGACCACATTGACAGGTCGTTACTAAATCGCTCTAATTTGCACTTAAACCAACAAGGTGATAGGGTGCTAGGGAGTGTTTTCTGCACATATCTGAAATCGTTTAGAGTAGGTAATAACAGGCAGTTTTTTCACCAAGCTCATGGACATCGGAACAGAGAATGGACAATGTACTTGAAATATGTGAATCAAATAATGAAGAATTAGATAGTCGTTTTTCCGTAAACAATGTGAGTAGCGATTTTTTCACTAGCCTTAATTCCATTCCCAATGAAAGAGGTTTTAAAATGGCTTTTCTTAACATTGTTAGTTTGCCAAAAAATATTGATGAAATAAGGTATTCAATGTCAAACAAATTCATTGATCTTATTGCTTTCAATGAGACTCGCCTTGACTCAAGTATAACTAATGGTATGATTCACCTTAATGATTATGATATTATTAGAAAAGACAGATCAAGAAATGGAGGTGGAGTTTGTATCTACTTGCGTAGCTCCATCAACTATATTATAAGACAAGATCTAATTCCCTCTGAATTGGAGGCTGTCTGTGTAGAAATTATTAAGCCACACAGTCGACCATTTCTTGTTACAACCATTTATAGACCACCCAATGCATCATCTGAATTCTTTGATCATTTTGAAAAATTAATTAAAGCCATTGATGATGAAAATAAAGAAATGTATATTCTAGGTGATCTAAACTGTGATATGCTTAAAACAGACAAAGATTCGAATTCTCCAACAAAGAAAATCAAAACATTGTATGAGTTGTATCAACTGTTACAATTGATTGATGAAGCTACCAGAGTAACTATGACAACCTCTAGTCTTATTGATCATATAGTCACCAATACACCAGAGAAAATTTCTGACTCTGGTGTTATCCATACTGGATTAAGTGACCATAGTTTGGTATTTGCAATAAGGAAAATTTCTGTTGTTAAAAAACAAGAGAAGAAAGTTGAGATAAGAAATATGAAAAAATTTGATCATCAAAAATTTGTTGAGGATCTGAGGCAACAACCCTGGGAAAATGTATACTTCTTCGCTGAAGATCCCAATGCTATGTGGGAAATTTGGAAGAAATTATTTTTAGAGGTCTTGGATAACCATGCACCACTTCAACATAAAAAGATTAGAACAAAAAAAGTTCCTTGGATTACAAGTGCTATAAAGCAACTTATAATCACAAGGGACAGATTAAAAAGAAAGGCCATTATTACAAACCTAGAGATAGACTGGTTAAATTACAAAACAACGAGAAACAAAGTTAATATTCAGCTAAGAAATGCTAAAAAAAAATATTACTCCACTAAAATTTCTGATCAAAAATGCAACCCTAAAGAGGCTTGGAAAACTATAAACGATATACTAGGTAGGCAAAGCAAACCAACAGTAGTAAATGAGTTAAAATTAGGTGAAAATAGTTTGACAAATACCAAAGATATTGCAGAGGGCTTTAATAATTATTTTTCAAATATTGGCCCTGATCTAGCTAGCAAAATTGATACTCCAAATTTGAACTTTCAAACATATATTGAAAAGACTAAATCAGAATTCAGTGCATTCCAGCCAGTCACTGTTAGCAATGTCTACCATCTTTTACATGGTCTTTCTAGCAACAAAGCCACTGGCGTTGATAAGATCTCCAGTAAAATTATTAAAATAGCTGCACCTGCTATTTCAGATTCACTCACATATATTTTCAATCAAGCTATTATCCTATCCATTTTCCCTCACGAATGGAAAACGGCTAGAGTAATACCTCTCTATAAAAATGGCCAACGAAACCTGCCAGGAAATTACAGACCAATTTCAGTTCTGCCTGTCATTAGCAAAATTATGGAACGAATTCTGTACGATCAGCTATACAATTATTTAACCAAATTTGAACTTCTGAGTGACTGTCAATTCGGTTTTCGTAAATTTCACTCTACAGCTACAGCATTACTTGACTGTACAAATGATTGGTATATGAATTTAGACCGCAAAATGTTTAACCTGGTAGTCTTAATTGACTTAAAAAAAGCATTTGATACTGTCGACCATCAAATATTATTGAAAAAATTAGAGCTTTACGGAATAAAAGGACAAGCTCTGTCTTTTCTAGAATCATATCTCTCAAATAGAAACCAAAAATGCCAAATACAAGGATCTGTTTCATCAGAGAAATTGATCAAATGTGGCGTACCACAAGGCTCTATTTTAGGGCCCCTATTTTACATTAACGATTTGCCTCAATGCCTGGATAAAACAAAACCTCGGTTGTTTGCTGACGATACGAACCTGACAGTTTCTGGAAACTCTATTACTGATCTTGAAACTGCAGTGAATTCTGATTTGGAAAAACTTAGGAAATGGCTAATTGCCAATAAACTTAGTCTAAATGTTGCTAAGACTGAGTTTATGTTAATTGGTTCAAAACAAATGATAAAAAATATTTCAAATTTGCAACTAAACGTGAAAATTGAAAACGAGTCAATTAAACAAGTTTATGAATCCAAAACTCTTGGAGTGACAATTGACCAGCATTTATCTTGGAAAACTAACACTGAGAATATTTGCAAGAAAATTACATCTGGAATATCGGCTCTTAGACGTTTAAAAGAATTTGCTGATAAGCAAACACTTCTTTCTGTATATAATGCTATTGTTCGCCCATATTTCGATTACTGCTGTGAAGTATGGGATGTGTTTGGAGAAACGCAATCAAAAAGACTCCAAAAACTACAAAACAGAGCTGCTCGGATTATTTTGAATATGAGCAATGACATAGATCACTCTGTTGCATTGCAAGCATTGGGTTGGAAGCCACTTAAAACAGAAAGGAAGAAAAATAAAGCAAAAATCATGTACAAATTATTGAACAAAATGGGACCCAAATCACTCAGTAATCTCTTCACATATAAGGGTGAGGTGACAAACTACAAACTTCGGAACATTTCAAGTAGTCTTTGTTTACCACAACCGCGTACTAATAATATGAAAAAAAGTTTCGTGTATGACGGAGCACACCTTTGGAATTCTATTCCTAAAGAAATAAGAGAGAGCAAATCCTTTTCTTCCTTTCGAAAGAAAATCACTACTCACATTGATTGATAGCTAATTAACATAGATGTTAATATTATCTGTATATAGATTACTACCTTAGTTTGTTAGTTCATATAATACTATATATCTTATATAATTTTGTAAATAGTTTTAAAATTCTTTTCTGTATACTTTTCGCACGCCCCTCGTGGAAATCAGCTTCGGTTGACGAGGTCAGCGTGTTTAAATAAAGTTTATCTATCT